GTACAACAAATCTTCTCCATTCCTCGTGGCCAGAACATCTCCCCTCCTCTCTAACATTTATCCTAATGACTAAAACCCACACAGAAGCTCCCTTCTCTGAGCTCCTGGGTGCTTGCCATGCTTTAGGCCCTTGTCTGCCATTTTGGAGAATTAGTGATCCTTCTCATGTTTATCTTTTCTCACCAGTGATATTATAACTCCTTCATAAGATTTTTGAGGGTAAGAACTGCATTGTCATTATCATTTTAATTCTTTAATATCTATGACAGTACCTTGCACATAATAGGTGTCCAATAAATCCTTACTAATTTGAATGGACTGTGTTTTATCCATCTTTGTATCACACTTATTCCCTAGGTTCACAGAAAATATTTAGTGATAATTTGTTGTTTCACAGCTTGACTCATTGATGAACATAGTATATATATATGTTTGTGTTTGTGTGTATATTTCCTTTATTGTAAATAACTTTACACATAATCTCAGAAAGGTAGTAGTGTCAAGGAAGCTACATGGGCCTGAGGGTCAGGAGAGCTGGGTGTGACAATCTTGGATCAGTCACTAGGTAACTATATGGCCTAGAGTCATGTCTGTCTGGTCCTCATTTTCCCCCTTTGTAAGATGTGGTGGGTAGGTCTAGAGTAGTTTTTTATTATTAAGGTCTTTTCCAGCTCTCCGATTCTACAGTTCTATACTTACACACCTCTGTGAGGTAGGGAAGGTCAGATACAATTAACCCCATTTTATACTTAGAGAAACTGAGAAGGGTGAAGTTGTTTTGCCAAAGGTCACAGAGCTCATTGGTGTCAGAACCTGGATTACTCTCAAGCAAATGAGTTCTGATGACTGGCAGGCTGAATGGCCCCAAGAGCAAATGCAATGCTGCTTTTGGATAAACTGATGTTGAATCAATGAGCTTTTGCTTTGCTACCCGTGTGATGTTCAGAGACTAGATTGTCTCAGCACCTCCTCTCCCCCTTTCCCCTGGAAGTACAATGAAATTAGCCTCCGCTAACTTTCAGAGGAGGGAGCCACTTCTCAGCTAATGAGCACTCTGGTGTCAGCCTCTTTCAGAGAAGAGTAATTAAAATTTTCATCATTAAAAATTTCATCATCTTTTGAAGGATTCCTTTATCTGAAGCAAATCTCACTAAATTTCCTGCCTGGTGATTTTCATATCAGAGCCATCTCAGAATGATTCAGCTCAGAATTGTTCAGAACCAGCCTTGCGCATTGTAGGGAGCAGAAGCCTGTCAGGCCCATCCCAGGGGTTTATTTGCAAATTCCCAGCAAACATACCACCACCTTTCAAGTAACCCAGTCTACTCCGTTTTCCTATTAGAAAAGCCATAAAGCTTCTAAAGCCATTTTACCTAAAGGGTTAGCTGCTAAGACTTTGAGTGTGACTAGAAGGAGGATGAGGTCAAGGCTATGAGACTAATTTCCAAAGAGAACCATCGATATCACTAATCTTAATGACACAAAGAGAATGGGGAGGGATCTGGGCATCCCTGGCATAATTGCTAAAAATAGGAAGCAACTAACCTCCAACATCATGACAAACAAAGTTACTGTCCAGAATCATAGAAACCTAGAATCTTATAGCCAGAAGGAACCTTAGATGTCATTCCTATCTGGAGCAAAAATCTTATTTATGGCAGTCCCAACAGATATTCATTCAGCCTTCTATTAAATACTTCCAATGACAGGGAGCTCAGTATCTTAAAAAATGACCCCCTCTGCTTTTGAACAGCTCCAATTATCAGTATTTCTTTATGCCAATCCAGGAGATTGCTACCCTATAAATTCCACTCATTGTTCTCAATTCTGTCCTTTGGTGTCAGACAAAACAAGTTGAATGTCTGCTACATTGTAACCCTTCAGATACTTGAGGATGGTTGGGGTTTTCTCCCTAAGTTTTCTCTTTCTGGATACAGTGTCCTTAGTACTTTTCATCAGATCCTTTTGTAAGCTGGTGTCATGGCCAATTCTGAACCTGGCAAATCACCTGGAATTCTGTTTACTAGAAACCAGGTTCAGCTGTTCCATAGAAGATTAATTGAGTTCCGATGGAAGGCAAAGAATGAAAAGAATGTACTTTCCTACTCTTGGATCCTCATTGTCTGGCCATACAGTATGTGTCAAGGAAGAAGGGAGGATGTGGTGAAAGGCCTGGAAGGATTAGGAAACAGGACATTTGAGAATCCAGTACATTCCCTGAGATGATCTTTCTACTCAGCAGACATCAATGGGAGATGGAAGGCCCCTTGCATAAGTGGGGAGAGGCAGGTCACCAGGAAAGGAGGACTGCCTTTTCAACCTATGGGAAGAAGGGCTGGTCAAAGAGAAGTTTTGTATTGTGTGCAGTGACCCAGAGAGGGATACCTATACAATGTGGCCTTGCCAATGAGGGCTGAGTCAGCAGCCTGCCCAATACTTGAGCTTTCACAGTGAGCTTTGGGCTGCCATATGCAGACTTTTCTCCTCCTCCTCTAAGTGATTTTTCTAATTAATTTTTCCTAGGTCCTGTGTACCTTTCATTAGATTTCAGTTTGTTCCATAGTTCCTCAAATTGGATTAATGCTGAGTGCTTCACGGAGTGGAAGAGAAGCTGATGCATCCCTCACTGTGTGGGGATGCGGGTGGCTCCAAAGTCCTTAGCTTGCTGTTGATTCACTCTCCCCTCCTCAGGAGGGACAAACAACAAAGCCATTCCAAGGTGACAGTTTCTTTGAAGGGCTGGTTCTCTAGGCCTTGTATCTACTGAGCTCGATAGCCATAACACCATAGTACCTGGAGGTAGCATGATGCAGAGGAAAGATGGCTGACCTCTGAGTCCAGATCCTCGTACATTAGCTGTGTGATCACCCTCACAGGGCTGTTGTGAGGATAGAGCTAGGTAGTATTTGTAAAGCACTTAGTACAGTACCTGACACAGAGTAGGCACTATGTAAATGCTAGCGAGTATTATTATTAAGTCACTTAATTTCTTAGATCTTCAGTTTCTTCAACTATGAAATGAGAGGATTGGACTAAATGACCTCTAAGTTCCCTTCTGGCTCTAAACAGACACCTACGAGGCCCCTATCATAGGTATAAGTACCACCTGTCCTTGTCACCTCCAGGAATTTGTGACTCGTCCCCAGAGAGGGCTTGTGACAGAGCATGGGCAGGTGAGTGCCAATTCATTACCACTACTGAAAAGACATCTCCAAAGCTATGCCCCACAGATGGTAGGTGAGCCTTTTTATGCCAAGCACAGCATGGAAGACACCACAGTCCTGGCTTATGGAAGAGACCATATCTGCATTAAAATGTATAACCATACGGGTGAGCAGAGAGATGAATTTGTCAGGGGTCCATCTGTGTGAGAGATCTCAGTGGTGATTTAACAGGGTTCAGGAATAGATCCAAACAATGTCAAGGCCTCTCAAGCTTACAAGGACTAGTGATATGGATTCCAAACCACCTTATAGCCAGCCATGTCAGTGAAGGATCAGATTATAATACATACACACACACACATACATGTATATATGATGAATTGCTATGTATATGTAAATACACATGGACATGCATGCATAAACACATGCATGATGCATGTGTGTATGCATGTGTATGTGCACACACATGCACATACATGTGCGTATGTACTGTGTGTAGGCATGTGTGTACATGTATGTATGATGTATAGGTACATGCATACATACATGCATGCATACATACATTCAATGTGTAAGAGAACACTGTGCTGAATACTATTTCCTTGTGAGGGGAGGTCCAGACCTCAGACAAGTATAGATGCTTCTGTGGACTTGGTTGTTTAGAAAGCCCCAGGCTGCTGCGATGGAATTGCTGCCTCTAGGTGCCAATTCTGTTCAATTTAACAAATATTTATTTAGTGCAACCTGGACCCAGACCTACCTTGCTACCTCCCTACCTCTCTTCATGCTGTCACATTCCTGCTCTCCAGCCTCAACCTCTAATCCAGCACCCTAAGCTCCCGCCCTGGGTTCCTGAGCCTCTGAGTGGTAAGCACTCACCATATGTAATTCGGGTCCAGATCCACCATGTTGCAAGTCCCCTTTCCCCCTTTCCTACCATAGATCTGAGAACAGAAGTCAAAATAATGCTACCAGAACACTTCTCCTTGGCCACCATTCTCCTTTATGTTTCCTCTTATTAGAATGGAAACTCTTTGAAGGCTGGGAATGTCTTATTTTTTTTGTACTACCAGCACTGTGCTAAGTGCCTGGCACATTATAAGCCCTTAATAGTTGTTTTCTCATATGATATATGGTCATCTAGCTTCTCTTTGAAGACTTAGAGTGATGGAGAACTCACTACCAGCTCTAGCTTTAAGGAAGTTTTTCCTTATATTGAATTGAAATCTACCTCTCTGTAACTTACCCTCATCGTTCCTATGTCTGCCCTTGAAGGCCAAACACAGGAAGGCTAATCCTTCTGCCCATCAGCCCTTGACTTGAAGTCAGTGGTCATGGACTTAATCCTGGCCGCCCCTGTGCCAGTCTTGGATTTTCTCTGGACCTTCTCTAGGATTCTTCTTCCTTCGGCTGATTCTTATATTATATACCCTCCATTGTTTTCACTTAGCACAGTTACCTTTCTGTGGATACTCTGAAGCACATCTGTGTTCTTCCTAAGATCTGGCACCCAGAAATTTACATGTAAACCATGTTGTGACTGTGGAGCACTATAAAGAATGTCTGCTGTGATTATTATGGAAACTGGGTGATTTTTCATCCATTAACTCTTCCTGCTATGTTCGAACAGGGCAGGTGTCAGTCCCCTTTACACACCCCATGGGCAGGAGTTCTGTCTGCCTGAATGGATCTAAGTGCAGTGGCCCGTGATGTTTGTCAGCTGCAGGTTTAGCCATCCTCTGGGCTACCATCAGAGTAAATGAATTCCTTGTCCACGAGACTGAATTCTTAAATAGTGGCAAATTTTGGATTCTTTCCCTTTTCCTCTTTCCCCAGAATGGCATTAGTGATTCAGACCAGCCAATGGGAAGAAACCAGACCTTTTCAAAGGCAGCTCCACACTGAAGAATTGCAGTGGTATTTCTGAATTTCTAAATATAAGTAACTCTCTTAGGTGGGTAGCATGGTGGTTTTCATTTTTCCTCTGGTTAATAAAAGATGAAGAATCTGTGAGCACCCTTTCACCCAGAAGAGAGTCTTTTATTTTAAAGATGTTTGTCCTCTACTTAAGAATAAAAATAAAATGAAATAATTGCCTCAAGCCTGGGAGAAACCTAGTTTGAGATGTCTAGGTTGACTTGTACCCTCTGGAAACTTGCCAAGATACACTGGGGGATTTTCTCTTTCCCTCCAATATGTGCATCTACATGTCCAACCATTTGTTTACTAATCCCCCTATGCACACATATGCGTATACACACATATATGTAAGTCCCTTGAGGGTTGGTGCCACATGTTTACCTTTTAGAATCATAGAATATAAAAACTGGAAGAGACATTTTATACTGTTCACTAATGCTTTTATTTATAGGTGAGAAAATTGAGAACCCCGAGAGTGAGAAAGACTTGCTCTAGGTCCCAAAACTAGTTTGTAACCAAGACAATTGAAATCCATATCTCCTGATGTCTAATAATAATGTCATTGTTATTATTATTATTACTATTATTAATAACATGTATATAGCACTTTAGGGCACCTTGGTAGCACAGTAGATAAAGTCCCAGGCCTGGAGTCAAGAAGCCTCATCTTCCTGAGTTCATATCTGGCCTCAGATGCTTACAAGCTGTGTGACCCTGGGCAAGTCATTTAACCCTGTTTGCTTCAGTTTCCTCATTTATGAAATGAACTGCAGAAGACAATGGAGAACCACTCCAGTATCTCTGCCAAGAAAACCCCAAATGGGATCATGAAGAGTTGGACAGGCCTGAAAATGACTAGACTGAACAAAAATATAGCACTTTAAGACATGCAAAGAGTGCTTTACATGCATGATTTCATTTCATCCTCATAATAACGTTGGGAGGTAGTTGCTATTATTATTCCCATTTTACAGATGATAAAACTGAGGCTGGAAAAATTTGAAGTGATTTGCCTAGGGTCACACAGCTAGGGAATACCTGAGGTAGGATTTGAACTCATGTCTTCCTCACTCCGGGTCTAGCACTTCATCCACTATACCACCTAGCTCCCACTGATGTTCTTTCCAGTATAGAACACGGTTTACTTTTTCTTAATCTTTTAGTACCTAAAACAATGCTTTGAAATGAATCCTGATGATAATGGCAAGACTCTCCATTTGTATAGCACTTGGTAATTTTCAAGGTGATTTTATTCTAAATGACCAATAAAGAATGTGAGTTGGGCACATATCAAGAACAAGGGATGATTCCTGGACAGCCTGAGTATTGTGCTAGTGCCCATGGAATGGGAAAAGTGGATTCTCTACAGAGGCATTGATGGGAGGAAATAAACATAACAGATGTAGAGATAGGTTGTGATCTTCACCAAGGGAGAATGCATATTGATGAGATGATGACCCACTAATATCTTACATTTAATTGTCTCAACAGTGTTGTGAGGTAGTTGGGCCAATACTATTATCTTGTTTTTTATAGATATGGAAACTGAGGCTCAGGGAGGTTCAAGTTATTTCTCTGTGGTAGCACAGCCAGTAAATGCTGGCATCAGAACTAAGACCCGTGTTTTCTGACTCCTAGCTCAATGCTCTGTTCTCTCCATAAGTGGTGGCAAACTCAGATTGAAAGGGCTCCCTACAAGCCACATATTGACTTAGAAAACCACAAATGACCATTATCTATGTTGTATCATATTTTATTTATTTTATTAAAAATTTCCCAATTACATTTTAATCTAGTTTGGGGACTTGGGAGTTTTGTAGGCTGCTTCTTTCTAGAGGCAGCAGACAGCAAGTTGGACACTTCTGCTCTATATCACATTGTCTCTATAAATATCTGATGATGTAAGAGAGAGAGTGTGTGTATATATACATAATATATTCCATTCAAATTTTGGAACCTGGAGCTACACCATATTCAAAGCACACCAGGTTTGGAGCAGTATCTATTTGAAATCACAGTTCAATTGCTCCTACTACTGTTTTTCTTTTATCAGACCAGGATGGAGGATGCGTTGATTAAAGTCAAAAGGCATTTAATCAAAATGGAATAGTAAAGTAGTTAATAAGAAATGCTATCTTTTCCCTCCTTCCCCCAAATAATACCACTGGAGAGCCCTCTCCCATATATTCTGATGCCACCAATGAAAAAGGAAATACATGGTTAGAATGATGATAGGAAAGGAAATACATACAGAGAATGTGTGTAGCCAGAGCATATACATGGGAAAGGGAATATGTCGGAAAGGGAATGTGTATAGCCCAGATAACTTATACTACAAGGGCTGCATAAAAACTAGAGCATTTTTTCCTGCCTCTCAAGCTGCTACTTACAGCTTCCTTATAGAACTGCTAATGTCATCTACTGGTCTGATGTTTTCATTTGCTAAGCTGCTTTCTTTGCCAGGTTCTAAACTGCTGGTGTCATTTAATGGACTCTCCTTCCTCAGATTGTTTTTCCACTAAACTTCAGTTTGTATATGGCCTCTTCTACACAAGGCAAGAGACTGGAGCTGTTTTATGAGATAGCCCATGGTACAGAGCTATTTCAGCTCTTTTGTGAATCAAATCCAAAGTTACACCCAGTCAGCCAGCAAAATCCTTAGATCAGGTCTGTCTTTTGAACTCTTTGCTTTTATTAGTCAGCTATTTGAGGAGGAGTGAGAAAATTCCTTTCAACTCTCTTTATGTTCCTTGTAGGCAATTCAGACTACACTCAAGTTTCACTCTAGACACACTGGAGGGAAGGGAGGAATTAGAATACAGCTAGGCCTAAATCACTACTTTCCCCTAAACTGATACTAACTCATTCAGCAAGATTTTTTTTTTTATTGAATGACTACTATATGTATATCAGTGCTAGGTGATATCTGAGACACAAAGAAGTAGAAAACATGGACTTTGACTCAAGAGAACTCAGTGTTGACTTGAGAAGACAGGACACATATTCCTGAAATGTTAAATAGTATTGTAAGTGATGTCACAAAGCAAGAGGTATTTGAGTACCTTATAGATTCCACAGACTGCAATTGCTATAAGATGCCAGAGAAGAGAAATCAGTAAGGGCTGTAGTAGTCAGGGGAAGCTTCATGGATGAGGTGGCTTTTAAGCTAGGCTTTAGAGAATGGGTAGTGTAGGCTATACATATGTCACATGTGCATGTGTGCCTCCCCCCTCCCACTCATACAGGTGGCCGATTTGCTCAGACACTGCAATTTTGTCACTTCCCCATCTAGATATGGTCAAAAATGGATACTATACCACGGCGTCATCCCTGTGATAAACTAGACCTTCATAATGTCCCTGCCACCACAGCGTCTGAGAGAGAGGGTTGTCTTCTTTCTTTCTTTTCTCCTGTCCTTCTTTTCCAGAGAAGAAGGTCCCTCATCATTCCCTGACAACTTGTTTTTGGAGTTCACAATTTAGATCAAATGTTCTTCCCAGTATCACCTTCTATCCCTGTAGCTGCTTCAAAAGCCCATTTTCTCATGATATTCTCCCATAAAATAGAGAATAGTTACCCAGAGGAAGAGGGACAAATGAGATGGCTTTTTCGCATAGTAGGCCCTCAATAAATATTTGTGGAATGAATCAATGAATACATGAAATCTCTTAGGACCAACATATTTTATTCCAGTGTTAACGGTGGGAATGGGAAAACATCTGTGTGCAATAGAAGCCTCTTTTAGCACCAAGGAGATGCAAGATTTTTGTGTGTGGAGTCTGTGTGGGTGTTTACGTGGGCTGGTGTCAGTGCAGGCAAGGGAATGAATAGATGCTTTTGTTCACTCTGTATGTAAAATGAAGTCTCATCTCTGGCTTGAGTGCATCTATTGCCTGGGGAACTGGGGATTGAAGAATCTATAACAGGCTCTACAATGAGTGATGCTACTTAAAAGGGAATTTGCAACTCCACCATGAAAAGCAACTCAGGGCCAATGTTCACTGTGAGTCCTCACAGTGCCTGGATTCCTACAGCTACATCTACTCACTGTCAGATGCCTGTCTCCTGTATTTCACAGCTAAGAGTTACACCACTGGCTCAAGCCTGCATAGGGAAACCTAATTAGCAAATCTGCACATCAGGCTTTGTTTTGTGCTTCTTTTGTGAATGGTTACTTTTTCATTTAAGTGAGAGCCTATGAACTGATTGGAGGCATCAGTAACATGGATACTTCATCTGGTCCCCAGGTGTTGCTACACAATATGAGGTATGTAAAATTCAAACAGAGTTGATAACATGCAAACACATTCTCATTTATTCATGGGCAGTGCCTATTTTATTGAAGGTAGTAGCCCTCAACTCATCAATATTTTGGTAGCCTGAGTTGTGGGATTAAGCATGGTTGAAAAAGAATCAAAATATAGAGTTAAAGAAAGTTGGAACTGGAGGGAACTTAGGGATTCGCTAGTCCTCATCAACTTTATTTATTTGTGGAGAAAACTAAGGGCCAGAGAGAGAAATGGATTTACTTAAGGTCACACAGCTAAACAGTGGTTGAACTGAGCAAAGAACTTAGGTCTCTCAATTTCTAGGCCATTGATTTATTCGCCATACCATGCTACCTTTTCAAAAAAGGGAAAAGAGAAGAGGAAAGGGAAAGGGAAGGAACAAGCATTTATATAGCACCTACTATGTGCCAGCCATTGTGATAAGCACTTTTTATAAATGTTATCTCTTTTTGTTCTCCCAACAACCCTGGGAGGTAAGTGCTATTATTACTCCCATTTTATAGTTGAGAAAACTGAGGCAGACAGAGGTTAAGTGAATTTCTGAAGGTCATATAGCTAGTAAGTATATAAGGCTATATTTGTGTGGCATATAATTAATTAAATGAGGAATGACCCAAACTATATGATTTATTAGTAATACAGGCATAATGAATAGGTCAGTAGACTCCCTAGTCAGTCCAAAGATCCTGAATACAGAGTGAGACAGATTTTTATGTATTACAAATAATTTATCGAATCAAGCCAATTAATTAAGAGAAGCCAATTAACTAGAACACAAAATTAGGTAATATGATTTCTA